CATTACTATTTAACAATTGTTTTTTGTTATTAATAATACCAAAATAAATATACTTAATAGATTCCTATTATGAATCCCTTTCCTGGAAAAAACAGCGTTATTATTCTTGATAATGCAAAAATACATCACAATGAATTTCTAATTAAAATAATAGAAGACCTTGGCTGTCGCATAATCTTTTTACCACCATACTCACCCGACTTTAATCCCATAGAAATGGCTTTCAGTTCCATTAAGAGCTAGATTCATAGAAACAGAGATTTTATGAATGCCGCAACAGATCCATTTCATGCACTTTCAGTTGCATGTACTCAAATAACTTCTGAAATGGCAGTAGGTTTTTTTAAAGGATCAGGTTATTTAGAAATTACTCAATAGGCTATTCAGAGTTATCATGTTATGTGATTTTACTGACTACTACAGTACAAATCACATGAAAATTAAATTTAAGGAGTGACAAAATTGTTTGCTAATGGTGAATTTTCTAGGTATCACTATAGGATTTATGTTTATGTATAATCTTTATTTTCTCAATAATGTCATATGTAGGGATAATTATACGGTATAATATATTTACCAGGAACAGAGTACGAAGTACGTAGTGTATAGTTTACAGGCAAGTTAATATGCATATGTAATTCTCGGTACTTGATTGGTCTGCGTGACTCTGTTCATCACATATTGTTATGTGTTGCCTATTTTTCGCATGCTATTTCACACCTTATACAAGTGATACCTGTGTTTGTACACGTGAGCATATATTATGTTCCAATATTTTAATGTGACCAGTTAATGAAGCCTAATTTCTATCAATAGTAACAAATTATTAATAACTTTGCTTTGAATATTTGCCAAGTTATTAAAACACAAATGTCTGCAACAATGTGGCTTTGCCCGAATCGCTATACAACCTGGTCGAATCATAAAATTCTTGTGTTATACAAAAATTGACACCACAGGCTTATCTTTACGATTCAAGTCAATGTCTGTTAATTGGATAATTCTAAAATGCAAATATAATCTCGATACGTATTAATTCAGTGTTGGCTTGACCGGATCGGTTTGACAATTTGACCTGACTAATTTGACCAATTTGACCAGTCCAGTCAAAGGATTTGTACTGGTCAAATTGGTCAAATGATTATTATAAAATATATATTATATTTAAAATAGACTTGTCCAATTTGACCAGTTTGACTAATTTGACCGATTCGACCAATTCGACCAGACCAATTTGACCAGCAAATTTTTGGTTGACCACTAATTTGCCCAACACTGATTAATATCGATATATTTATAGTATTTTCACCATGATTATAACAGATAACAAAATTATTGAAGGTAAATACTACTTAATCCTAATTTCGGTCTATAATGGAATAGCATTAAATAAACATTTTGAAATAACTTTCAATATTTTATTTATATTTTCATGGCAAGTCAAGCATAATAAGAGAACATTTTTAGTTTCTGGATATATTAAAATCCAGATTTAACTATTCGGACTTAATTATCACTTATTCTAAACCGGTGAAACCCGTTTTTTTTATCATCCCTACTGCTCACTACTACTTTTTGGTTTGCTTTATTGTCCATTTCTTGTAATACAACTAGAAGATAAATAGGATGCGATAACGAATCCATAAAACTTTAATTATCATTATTATTATTATGCAAGTTTTACGTTTTACATATTATTATTTCAGTTTTACATTTTACGTTTCAATCGAATTATCCATACTATAAAATAATAAAATCTTCGTAGGATATTATACACAACTACAACCGCTGTTATTATGAGCGTTAATAAAGGAATAAGATCATAGTTTAAAGTCCTTTTTAGGTAAAATATCTATAGGATTTTTGGAAGTATTAAATAATTCGTATAAAAATTTTTTTTATTTAAAAAATATTAGATTTTAAGGATTAATTCACTAACCTGAATAACGAATTGTGGGATATCTTTGATAAAGAATGAAGCAAATTCTGCCCAAAAAATACCAGTCTTGGCTTTTTCAGAAATTGGTGCACTCAAAATTTCTAAACCACAGAGTTTAGATGAAACTACTATTAATGCATATATGTCAATACCTGATAATAAGGTAAATATTGTAATAATAGCGACACGATTTTGAAACCAATCAGAAAATCGAATGTTTGATTGCGCTTCTCTGATAATCAAAAAGACACCAAATGCTTCTTTGAATGCAAAGGAGAATACTAAAATTGCGAGGCTGTAAAAATTTAAAATGAGTAAAAATGATTTACTTGTCAAGATAATCATTAAGAAATTTTCAACCTTGGTGTATAGAGTTCATAAACATATCGTGCATTTTTGAAAGTAAAAGCAACATTGAGTCCAAAACTAATAAATAAAAGTGCGAATCTGAAGACTGCACTATTTTGAGCCTTTTAAGCATGGAAGTAATGTTAGATTGCTGGAATTAATAAGATCAAACAAAATTTATTCTGTGAGTCGAAATACCTGTGGATTCAAACGATAAGCTAGAGCAAAAAACAAGAACAATGATAAAATTACAATTATGAAAGCAATTATTATATCTTTATGATCTTTCCATATATTAGCTATTAAGATTAGAATTTTGTGAATAAATAAAACTTACAAAGTTCAATATAACTTATAATCAATATTATAAAATAATTACTTGCGCGAGTAAATGCATAAGTCGAATCAATATATTGTGTATGTTTTAATAATGACAACGAAGTATAATCTCTATTTATTATTAAAGTGTTTAAATTTTCATAAATATGAAATGAATTTCTTTGAGAAATATCGGATGTAGATGTAATTGTCAGTGCTAATTGAATTTGTGGTTCTGGTGTATTAGGATCGCGTTCATAACGATCCATTGGAATAAGCCTCGATGATGATGTTGGTATTACTGAGGCTAGTTCTTTGCATAATTCGTTTAAAAAATTTTTTTTATCAGAGGATGAAAGTTGTTCAAATTGTTGAGTTCCATTGACAGTCAATCTGATAAGACCTGTTATAGAATCTATATATATTATATAAATTTTAGCAAAGTTCTTTCGACCATTTATTTGTCATGTGCTTCTTTGAAATTACCTGAAAAAAGTTCTGATGTAGTTTGAACAGCTAAATATTAAGAAGAGATCACTAATTAAATATAAAGATATAAGTTATCGTTATGAATTTATTCTATACAGTAGACACAAACCAGTAGTCATAATCCATATTCCACTTTGCACACCCAATAGTGGTTCTCCAGTGCTGTTTGCTGTCACAAAATTTGGGTCAATTAACACGTAATAAGTCGTAGATGGTTCGTTGAAAGTGCTCTCAAAGACATTAAATAAAACCGTTTTTTGGTCTTTACTTATCGAGCAAAGCCCTGACCTTGCAGAATAAGTTTGGCGAAGAATATTCGATGTATTATTATTAAATTTATAAATACTCATATTTTGAGAAGAAAGTGCAATAGAATTTTGATAAGTTATATTTATTTCTCTGAGATTCATTGGAATTACTTGAATATTTGAAAGATAAGAAAATTATTAAAGAGGTCAGGAAAAAAGAAAATAAATAATCTTATTTTTCAATACTACCTTGGTTTATCTTAGGAAATGTTGTATTTATCTGTGGATTCGAATAAACTATACAAAGAGTTCATTTAACATTAAACATGCATCAGTAAATATGATAGAAATAAAAAAAGTTTCATACTATCTTGTACGGAAAACATTGCCAAGCTCGTTTTCGCAAGTCTTAAATAACGATCTGTACTATTGGGTGCTACTGAAACAATTGTGTCATTTGGAAGTAAATCGTATGGAAGACCCCTTGAAGCCACTATCAATGGTTGCGGTAAAGTCCTGTGAAAAAAGATTCTGCTAAGAAATACTTTAAACAAGAATTTGAAATTAAATTATTTCTTACCAATTACTTATTATATCTCCCGTTGCATTGAGAATATATCCATTAATAGTCTGAATACCCATAGATCTATGGTCGTGCACAGTTAATAGATATCTATTTTTATCAATATATATATTATTAGATACAATTGACGACAAACTTTGCAACGCGTTTTATTATCTAACACACCCCCCGTGAATCAAAGGACTAATTTTAACGTCATCCGCGTTGTTAGTGTTAGCAGCCTGCATCACTTTAATTGACATCACCGATCTAATAATTTATAAGTTAAAACTTAATTTGCCATAAGCACTCGAATATAAAATAAGTTTGAATACAAATTATTACCCGGAGGATAAATAAATTATTTTTAAAGCAAACGTATTTTGGTTTTGAACTAGATATAATTGACACACATTACCACCACCAGAGTAATCAACATTACACGTCATTGTCAAAACATTTAAATTAGGAGATGGGTTTGAATATATCAAACTTGGGACGGTGATACCGGCTCCATAAGGAAAAATTAAAAATGCCTCTACTAATAGTCTCACGTTTATTGGATTACTTGTGGGAGGAGTCGACGATTGATTTGTTATGTTGTTATTATCATTAGAAACACGAGATACTATCAAACTATAACCACCAGCGGAATTTGGGAAAGCAGAGAATCGTACAGTAGTATTTCTGTTTTCTACGTTAGGTATTATGCCATCATGCACACGATTAATCTTATAATCGTTCACCGAATGACTTTACAATGAATAAGAATTTCTTTAAAAATTTCATACACTTTAGATCGTTTAATATATTGATAACTTACGGCGTGGTAAAATGACTCCACATAACGTCTCCTGTGTCTCTTCGTAACCCGACATATAGGAAACCTACATTCACAATATATTTGGAATAATATATGGAACCAGGTGGCTGAATATTTCCAGCTTCATTCGCATATGCTTCATGTAAATAAATCGTACTAAATTTATATAAAACGAAATAAAAAAAATTAAAGACATTTCATCTAACATTTAAATCCATTTGCTCAAACCTGATGATGCTCCCATTAAATGATATTAGAAGCCCATATACATAAGCGTTTTTGGGATCACTTGAATTTAGATAAGTAGTAAAAATGAAATTATTCGCAAGAGGATAAACTTGAATATAATAATCAGATATCCCATCAATGTTTATTTGACAAAAATTAAAATCAGGAATTCCTGATGATTCTATGATAATCGAATTAATGGATCCATTTGGATAAAGAATTCGAAAAGAAAGGATTGGTAGTGTACAATTTAACGTGGTATTTGCATTTGTTGAAACATTCAATTTGTTCGAAATCATCTGAACTAATACTGTTCCATCACCATAAGTTTTAACATTATAAGCTGAAAATCCGGACTGCGTTTCGTTAAATTCAAGAATACTATATTGACTTATGACCACAGTATTGAACAGAAGTATTATTATGAGTGGCCACAGTATGTTTCCTATCGCTTTTTGAGACAAAATATGCGTAAATTGATCTTCCATGATTGAAATTCTTTGAAGGTAGGATCGAATAATCAACATGTGCAACTTTCTAAAGCTCTATTATTTGATTTATTATATGGAATATTCTTCCACCTAAAATTTCGTTTTCTTATTAATCATTCAAATGTATCTTTATTCCTTAATTGTGTATCCCGGGATACAGGTACGCCGAATTTTTGTACAAAAAAAAAAAAAAATAGATAAAAATAAATCAATAAATAAAAATAACAGATAAATAAATATAAATAAAAGATCGAAATAAATATTTTTATTTCTTAAAAAATAAAGATTCGGGTCAGACAGAATAAAGGCATCGCGGCTTTGATAATTTCACATAAAATGACTATAACCAAGCCTTTGGTGGCTTTTAATCCTCTTTTCTTTTAGTCAAACAATCTTTATATCTCAAATGAAAACTTATGTACGGAAGTAGGAGACTCAAATGGTAAAGTCACGTAAATATCGTTTGAAATTGTAAAGATATATTTTTGTGAAACCACCTAAAGCTAAAGTAATGGTTACTAATAATATTATTACCGAACAAGCAGAGGTACGTTACGATAAGGATGTAACCAAAATCCGATAATTTAGGACTTAGGAGAATCCCATGGTTTTACTGGATTCTACCGGGTGGGTGAAAAGTTTCTGGACAGGGACCTTTTTTACTATCTCCACTAAAATAATTTTGCAATACATATATAATAAAAAAATAATTATACATTATAATTTTTAATTTATTCAATGATTACTAAACGTTAAATGATAATTATAATGATTAAAAAAGGCACTGTCCGGAAACTTTACTACATGAGTGGATTTTCTCATCCTTTAGCGTTAGGTAAGTATTTCTTGAAGCTTTCTCCTATCTTTGCGATATATTAGTCTTTAATTATAGTTATTCTTCAAGTCTTTTAGTGCATTGATAAGTCTTCTTGGTCTTCAGTTCTTCAACGCTTTAGTAAATATTTTTTTGGTTTTCTCTTGTCTTTGGCACTTTTTGGTTTTTAATTATAATCTTTTTTTAGATCTTTTAGTATTTTTGGTGAATTTTCTTGAAATCTTTAGTCTTTCAGCATTTTGTTAAGTATTTTTGAACTATTTTCTGTTTTTAATTATATTTTTTTTTTAGGTCTTTTAGCAGTTTGCTGAACTTTCTTAGAGTTTTTAGTTCTTTGAAGCTTTAATATAAGTATTTATTTGGTTTGTTTCCTATCTTTTGGTAATTTACTAGTCTTTAATTATAATCTTTTTTTAGATCTTTTAGCATTTTGGTAAAGTTTCTTGGGGTCTTTCATTTTTTAACATTTTAGTAATATTTCTTTTACTTTTCTTTTGTCTTTTGACACTTTACTAATTTTTTAATTATGCTTTTTTTTTTTGATCTTTTAGTAGTTGATAAACTTTCTTAGAGTTTTTAGTCTTTTAACCTTTTAATATGAGTATTTTTTTAACTTCTTTTCTAACTTTTAGTAATTTACTAGTTTTTAATTATAATTTTTCTTTAGACATTTTAGTATTTTAGTAAATTTTAGTAAATTTTTTTAGAATCTTTAGTTTTTAGTATTTTAGTAAATATTTTTTAAATATTTTTTTATTTTCTATATTATATTAAAAGTAGTAATAGATATTATATAATATCTTGAGAAAAAAGTAGGAAAATCTTATATAAATATTAATATTATTTTAATTTAATTAGTTAAAATTATTTAATATAAAAGAAGAAGTAGTTCAACAGTAAAACAATATTATATAATATCTATTACTTTTTTAATCTTTAATTATATTTTTTTGTTAGATCTTTTAATAGTTTAGTAAATTTTTTTAAAGTTTTTAGTTTCTTAATTCTTTAGTATAAGTATTTTTTGTTTTTTTTTTTTTAGGATCTTGGTAAATTTTTTTAGAGTTTTTAGTATTTTAGTAAGTATTTTTAATTTTTTTTTAATTTAAATAATCTTGTCTTTTATTTTATTAAGAGATATACTATTTTAGTATTAAAACAAAAATATATTATATTGCAAGAATCGACTGTCAAATTTTTTTAAAAATCGACCAAATCGACTACAAGCACTACTTTTTACTTTTTCTCTTTATAGTTTATAACCTTCTCTAATATTTATATATTCTATGTTACCGGGAATTCATTAAGCAAACATTAAAATAATATTGGTATTGACACTAAAGCGCTAAATCAAAGCTTTGTTTTACATGCTGTTGGTGAGGAAATATTAACGAAAAATAGAAAGGTGCTACGCCCCATTTCTACGATTATGGGGAAGAAGAGCGTCCAGAAATGAGAGCTTCTGCGACGTGCACATTATATTACTATTAGGTTCTGATTAAGGTCTACTGATTATGAAAGAGGAGTTGGTTATGTACTTTCCTTAATCTTTAAAGAAACCTACTCACAATTTTTACATATCACCTATAGAAGCTCGGACCAAATAATAATAATTTCGGAAGTTCATGAATTTAATTCGTGATCCGTTTAAGAACTATAGAACGATCATTATAAAAAGTGGGATATACACGTATGACTATGTATTTTTTTTGCTTTTTTTGAAATCTGGAGCTGCTATATAAGGTAGGTCATTTTTTACTAAGTAAATCTTCCTTATGCATCTAATTAAAAGTTGTAGAGGCAGTAAATAGGGACATAATAGTAGTAAATAAAATCGACCTGGTAAATCACGAGATATGGTGATTTTACTCTTAGCGACTATATGTTTTTATATAAAGATGAAAATAAACTGTATAGTCGCAAAGAGTAAAATCGCTATTTCTCGTGATCCACCAGGTCGATTTTAGCGTTTTTACTACAAGTCACTCTTGTTATAGTGAAGTAATCGGGCTAAGAAAAAAAAAAAAAACTTCACTATAGCTTATATATCGAGAGAATACTATATAAACTTTATCATATCAAGTGAAGAATTAAAATAATGGTTAAAAAAGTTTTCATTATATCAAGATCTTTACGAGTTTTTTGTTCAACAGCAATCAAGTTGTGAAAATTTGATTACGTAATCAGCCGAGGAAGCAAATGAAGCAAACAAACTCAGAGCATTAATAAAAAAATGTTAATGCAATTTACCTATATGCACTTCTAAATCTAACCTTAACGTTAATGTTAATTAAATATTTTTTGCTTTAGCCACTCCCCTTTTTAGGAATTGTATTACCGTTACGGGCATAGCCCCTCTTTCGAAGTTGAGATGTAATGTAAACCACCGAATTAAATTAAACCACTACCGTACCTATCGCTATACATTAAAAAAAAAAAAAAAAAACTGGTGGTTAATGATTTGACCATAAAAATGTTCTTTTCGACTAAATCACAAATATTACCAAAATTTAACAGATTTATCATAAACAAATTTTTGCCAAATAAATTCAATTTTACAAGATATTCTACAAAAAAAAATTTAAACTCTTCATGGACTAAAAACCCAAAATTTGCCTCTTGGGGTATTATTGCAAGTTTGACAAGTGGGGCTGGAATTTATTATTATTTTACATATTATTCTCCTAAAGATTTATCGGTAATTGATTAATAACTATGATAATAATTTTAACGATTAATTCATTCTAAAAATTCTTTTATAATTTTTTAAAAAGCCTTCGATTGTGTTAAATGCTGCGTCTATAAGACGCAATGATTATAAAGTTAATATCATTTCATATTATGAAAACTGATTATTTGAATTAAATTTAGTATAGTCAACATTATTAATAAAATGGATTATTAATTAATTAATACTAATTTAATTCATTGATTAATTCATAATCAATATAGGTACTTGAAGATAATCAGACACGGTTACGTGATAAAATGGAACAATATGTAAAATCACTCCAAGAGCGTATCATAAAAGAAATCGAATTAATTGATGGCAAAAAATTTTATATTGATCGTTGGGAACGCGAACAAGGTGGTTATGGTATTTCTTGTATTTTACAAAATGGCAATGTCTTTGAAAAAGCAGGTGTAAATATTTCAGTGGTCTCTGGAGATTTACCCATACCAGCAGTACAAGAAATGAAATCTCGACATAAAGAAATTGATCCTTCAAAAGGACCATTTCCATTTTTCGCTGCAGGCATTTCAATTGTTATGCACCCACATAATCCACATGCTCCAACTGTACATATGAATTATCGGTATTTTGAGATTGAAAAAGAAGATGGATCACCATTATCGTGGTGGTTTGGTGGTGGTTCAGATCTTACACCTTCTTATCTTTATGAAGAAGACGCTGTCCACTTTCACAAAACTTTAAAAGATGCATGTGACAAACATGATCCAAATTATTATCCTGATTTTAAGAAATGGTGCGATGAATATTTTTATCTAAAACATCGTAAAGAGGCGCGTGGGGTAGGAGGTATATTTTTCGATGATTTAGATAATAAACCAGCAGAAGAAATATTTGCATTTGTTAAACAATGTGGAGATTCATTTTTATTATCATATATTCCATTGGTGAAACGGAGGATAAATACAAAGTTTACGCCAGAAGAAAAAGAATGGCAACAAATACGTAGAGGTAGATACGTTGAATTCAACCTTGTATGGGATCGTGGAACTAAATTTGGTCTCAATACACCTGGTGCAAGGATCGAAAGTATATTTATGTCTCTCCCATTAACTGAACGATGGGAATATATGCATATACCCGATAAAAATTCTCGCGAAGATAAATTAGTGCAAGTTCTAAAACAACCAAATAATTGGGTATAAGACATGCTGACTTATATAAGTTTTACTTATATTTTAATAAATTATCTTTTTAATTCAACGAATATATTTAATAACGTTTATATTCAAATCAAATGTTTTATTAATTTATTTAATAAGATGCCTAAAATTCATTCTTGCAAAAATACATTTCTAATCTCAATCTCAATAAATCAAGGTTATGCAATAAACCATTTCATGGTTTTAATTTCGTATTATATAAAATTATTCACGATAACACAAACTAATTTAATCGCGAGAAAAAATAAATGTTTTTTTTTTAAATTTTAATAAATTGAATTTAGGTTAAACCTTTTGTAATAAAATAGACTTATTTATATCTATTAAAATAAAAAAATGATTTTAATAAAAATACAATGGCAGTTTAACGTCTGTAATAATGACGTTTAAAATGGAAATGTAGTTGTAAAACTCCACGATCAAAACTCGATTTGAATCCCTTTTTATGTGAATACTCCCATTCTCGATTAACAATGCGAAAAGCAATATCCTGTGCATGAATAAATAAGATTATATTAACAAAATAGTTCAAGAAATTTTATATATACAAATATATTACCTCATAAGGAGGACCAGCGACAAAACGTATTAAGACAGTATCACTATTTCCGGGTTCTCTCTCAATTTTATATGTAGGTGCTTTAGTTTTATCAATCAAATCTGGGTAAAATATATTGAATTTATACCCTTGAACAACTTTTGGTGGAGGGTTATCACTGTCATAGTGCGTTTGATTGTATTTATTCCATTCGTATCCTGTGTGAACACGATTAAAATATCGGGGTTTACGTGGTCGATATTTATCTTGCCATAAATATGTCTATCCAAATATACAAAAAGTATTAATTTTTCATACACAATTTTAATACATTATTCGGGAATAATATATGTATAAATAATATCATAAAATAAATTAATTAATTGTTTACCGTTTTGGCCAATTCTTCTTCAATATTGAATATTGCTTCGTCTTCATCTAGTTCTTTAGCGGCTTCTCGCTCATATAATGCCTTTGAAACCTAATAAAAATATTAGAACCTGGAAATTTATGCTATTTTAATGGTACAAAAATAAAGCCACTTACCACAGACTCTTCCTCTTCTTCAATGGTCGTTTTTTTTGGCTGAACCTTCATGGGTATAAACTGATTACGTAGTACTTCTTTACGTCTTTCTTTCTATTTATTTATAATATATTGAATGTGAATTAGAATTGCCTTAGCAAATGAGAAAAAATAATATGATGGTAATAAAGGCAAATTCATACCAATTGAATCAAATCCTCTTCAGGATCAATAATTTCATACTGTCTATCTTCCTTGGACAATCTTAGTGACGGTCTAGGACTCATAGATCTATCATATTCACTAATCATATATTCTAAAATAGCCTCTTCTTCAATCACAGCTTCATTACCCTCAACTTCCATTTGAATATGATGGTAACCGGCATGCGATGCAATGGCTGATTCCAACTCTTCTTGCACTTTAATAGCTTCTTGCCTTTGTTTTCTGCGAAGTTGTTCTAATCTTTTCTGCAACACAATCTCATGCATTGCTTTCAGTTTAGCCTATTATTGATAGATGAGTTATACAATAGGAAATAAAAATATTAAGTGAATATAAAAAAAAAAAAAATTTTTTTTTTTTTGATAAATACTTTTGATTTCCAAACTGTCAATGCTTTCAACTGTTGTTCCCAAAATTCTACTTCTACAGCTTCTTTCCCCGATAATTTTTGTTGAATTTGAGATTGTAATACATTTAATTGTTCATAAGTCTTTCCGGCAAATAAATTGTTAATATCATCCTTTACAGGTGCTATAATATTCATAGCATGGTTTTTTTCATCCTCTTGAAGTTCCGAAAGTTTATCCTCACATACTACAATCATTGCCTGTAAATATTAATAAATAATTTTGAATATTTTATTTTAATTTAATTAAAATAAGGATAATCTATAAATATTTTTTTCATACCCTCCAAAAATCAAGATTATTTGGATTCCTTTCAAGGCTCAAGTATTTTTGAATATCCTGATGTAATTCTTCAACTTCTGGTAGAGTTAAATTCTGATTAACCAAGTATTAAAGGCTGTCAATTAAAATGAGATACATATAATAAAGTAAACTTATTAGCGACATAAATGATCATACCTCAAATATAGTGTATGGTTCATCCATATCAATTTCCAAAGCTTCATCAACAACTTCAGATTCATCAGCTAATCGTAAATTAATGGCAAGAATATCAATTGGTTTTGCACGATTTTCTTTGATTCTAATTTCCGCACGACGTTTTGCTTGTTCAAGATGGAACTTTAAATTAAAAATTTTTAATATAAGTTTTATACACTAATATAAAGGTAATAATAATAATAATAAACATAAATATTTACCTCGTCTTCTTTTGATGCCCAATCACCCATTGCAGCAATTTCAGCATCACGTTGCATCCGAGCCTAGTATTCAAAGTAACAGCATATCAAATATTATAAAATATCAGATTATCATAAAATTTTTAATACAAAATACACATATATATATACATTATTAAGATATATACAAGTTCTTCTTCACGTAACTGCCGTTCAATTTCACGTTCAGCCCTTCTTTTGTTTAACTTTTCGAGTTCAAGCTTTTTTTATATAAAAAAAATTTACAGTTATTAAGTATAATAAATTCAAATAATTGTGAGAAAATTTTAATTGTCAACATACTTGTGTTTCTTCACGACGTTCTTTTTCTCTGCGCATAGCTTCTTCTGGTGATATTCCCATTTTCTTATCGCGTTCTTTTTTTTTGGTCCATTCAAATTTTATACCAAGATTTTCATCACCAAAAGGATTATCAGTATTCGAATACGCTGATAACTCTATGTATGACAATTTGTCTTTGTGTCGATCTCGTTCCTATATGTTCCAAGAGACAAGACTTTTAACACTAATTTTATTTGATCGTAAGATAATCTAGTATTTATATTCCGTACCTTTTTATCTTTTTTCGCTTTTTTGGCCTTTACAGGCTTTTTTTTGTCGTTATATGGGTGCATTTTAAATGTGATTTATGTTTTTTTAAAGATAAGAAGAAGCACTTATGATCAGTGAAACTTTTAGAAATGTGTATACAGTATAAGCTAACTTTCTCGTGATTGGTTGATTACATGAAATTTATGATTGGTCAGTGAATATATCACATGGTCATACGTCGAGTTCACTTTTAGTTTGTTCTAAATTCGATATCATTAGCGCATTTGTGAAATAAGGTGCGTTCATTCATTATGTTATTGTTTTTTTTGACTATTTCCTATTGTAGATCGCATAACCCATTTTCCTGAAAATGGGTTAGACGTTTATTAATGAATGACGCATTTTATATGTTGGGTTAATGCCCAAACGCGATAAATGTTTAACAGATAATAATCTACATAATGATTGTTAATCATAAGATGCCAAAATATTTATTTATTTATTTTTCTATCATTTAGAACTTTGTCCGATGACTATTTTCAAGATCCAGAAAATCCAATAATTGGGAATGAAAAAGATCGTTATTTGGCGAAAAACATTTGCTATTCGTGCGGCAGTAGTTCCATCCTAGTAATTCATAGATGTAAGGACATTTTAGAGTTGAAATGTTATATGTTATTAATAAAAGTTTAACTTAAAAGTGACAAATGCCAAAACAATGCACTCAATAAAATAATTTATAGTAAGTTGAATTGATAACTCGGGTACATTTTAGAACTATATTACATGTTTATTTGGAATTTGTATAAAAAAAAAAAAAAAAAAAAATTTACTTCAAGTAAATTCTAAATTTAAAATAATCACATTCCGACGTATCTGTACGAAGATTTGCAAAATGGTACAATCATAAAAAATTTGCGAGCTTGATGCTTGAAAGATTTCATCTGGATTTTTAATAGAAATTTCAGCATTCATGAAAGAAATTTTAATACTAATATTTAAATAAACTACAAACCAAAATTTCACTAAATTCGGGAAGGTGATTATCTGAATTTACTAATTTACCTCCCAACTTCTAATTGGCTGTACTAATTATTCACTTAGCGGAGTATTTATCGTTATCTGTTAGAATCACAAAATAGTTTGTATAAATATTTATATTTTTTCACTTAGACTATACAAAAGTAATTTTTTGGCTTTCATAACCTAACTGGCTCAAATTTTTATAATTTATAATAATGAATGATACTTACAGCTATTTTCATAATTTCTAGATCACCTACTTGTTATCTAGGGTTGTGGGCACGGAAAAATTTTTGGGCATGCCTGAAAGGGCATGCCTTGCCCAAAGGCATGCCCCTCATATCGTGCCCAGGGCATGCCTTCTAACACTAACCTTAACTATAGTGCTGTCGGGTCCCAATTATTTCCCCGAATTTTTTTCTCCGAAAATAACTTCTCCGAAAACCACTTCCCCGACTATTACTTCCCCGACACATTGAAATTTTCATTTCCCCAAAATTTTCAAATTTCGGGGAAGTAATTATCGGGGAAATTAATGTGTCGGGGAAGTAATTGTCGGGTAAATGGTTTTCGGGGAAGTAATTGTCGGGGAAAAAAATTTCGGGGAAATGAAAATTTCGGGGAAATAAAAATTTCGGTGAAGTAATTATCGGGGAAATTAATGTGTCGGGGAAGTAATAGTCAGGGAAGTGGTTTTCGGAGAAGTTATTTTCGGGGAAAAAAAATTCGGGGAAATAATTGGGACCCTTCAAATTTGTCAGTATTGGTCGTCTCATTAAGCATGATACATCAACTTGATACATTTGAATTAAAATGTAATTACACAAAATTTTACATATTAACTTACAATTAAATAAATATATTTAA